CCAAAATTTAATCCCACCCCTCTCCCGAACACCCTAGCATTTACTTCCTTTACAACCCCATCTATAAATATATTAAACAACCATGGTGACATTACTTTTACCGGGAAGTAGTCTCCCTCTCTTCTACACACCCTAACCAGAGCCTCAGTATCCTCATAAAAACTCTTTACATCATTTAATAACTTACCACCTATTCCATACACTTGCAACATCTGCCACATTGCTCCTCTATCCACTCTATCATATGCCTTTTCTAAATCCATAAATGCAATAAAAACTTCCCTACCTTTATCTAAATACTGTTCACATATATGCTTCAATGTAAACACTTGATCTACACATCCCCTACCCACTCTGAAACCTCCTTGCTCATCTGCAATCCTACATTCTGTCTTACCTCTAATTCTTTCAATTATAACCCTACCGTACACTTTTCCTGGTATACTCAGTAAACTTATTCCTCTATAATTTTTACAGTCTCTTTTGTCCCCTTTCCCTTTATATAAAGGGACTATACATGCTCTCCGCCAATCCCTAGGTACCTTCCCCTCTTTCATACATTTATTAAACAAGAGTACCAACCACTCCAACACTATATCCCCCCCTACTTTTAACATTTCTGTCATGATCCCATCAGTTCCAGCTGCTTTACCCCCTTTCATTTTACGTAATGCCTCATGTACCTCCCCCACACTTACATTCTGCTCTTCTTCACTCCTAAAAGATGGTATACCTCCCTGACCAGTGCATGAAATTACTGCCTCTGTTTCTTCCTTAACATTTAAAAGTTTCCTCAAAATATTCTCGCCATCTACCTAATACCTCCATCTCCCCATCTACTAACTCCCCTACTCTGTTTTTAACTGACAAATCCATACTTTCCCTAGGCTTTCTCAACTTGTTTAACTCACTCCAAAATTTTTTCTTATTTTCATTAAAATTTCTTGACAGTGCCTCTCCCACTCTATCATCTGCTCTTCTTTTACACTCTCTCACCACTCTCTTTACCTTTCTTTTACTCTCCATATACTCTGCTCTTCTTATAACACTTCTGCTTTGTAAAAACCTCTCATAAGCTACCTTTTTCTCTTTTATCACACCCTTTACTTCATCATTCCACCAATCACTCCTCTTTCCTCCTGCCCCCACCCTCCTATAACCACAAACTTCTGCCCCACATTCTAATACTGCATTTTTAAAACTATTCGAACCCTCTTCAACCCCCCCACTACTCATCTTTGCACTAGCCCACCTTTCTGCCAATACAGTGGACCCCCGCATACCGTTGGCCTTACATAACGTTAAATCCGCATATCGATACATTTTATTGCTAAGATTTTGCCTCGCATACCGCTAAAAAACCTGCTCAACGCTGTTCGTCCGAGACGCGTCTAATGTGCGGCCTTAGCCAGCCTCACATGTTCCGCCGGTGGCATTGTTTACCAGCCAGCCTCCGCGGTAACATCCAAGCATACAATCGGAACATTTCGTATTATTACAGTGTTTTTGGTGATTTTATCTGCAAAATAAGTGACCATGGGCCCCAAGAAAGCTTCTAGTGCCAACCCTACAGGAATAAGGGTGAGAATTACTATAGAGATGAAGAAAGAGATCATTGATAAGTATGAAAGTGGAGTGCGTGTCTCCGAGCTGGCCAGGTTGTATAATAAACCCCAATCAACCATTGCTATTATTGTGGGCAACAAAAAGGCAATCAAGGAAGCTGTTCTTGCCAAAGGTTCAACTGTGTTTTCAAAACAGAGATCGCAAGTGATGGAAGATGTTGAGAGACTCTTACTGGTGTGGATAAATGAAAAACAGATAGCAGGAGATAGCATCTCTCAAGTGATCATAAGTGAAAAGGCTAGGAAGTTGCATGAGGATTTAATTAAAAAAATGCCTGCAACTAGTGATGATGTGAGTGAATTTAAGGCCAGCAAAGGCTGGTTTGAGAGATTTAAGAAGCGTAGTGGCATACATAGTGTGATAAGGCATGGTGAGGCTGCCAGTTCGGACCACAAAGCAGCTGAAAAATATGTGCAGGAATTCAAGGAGTACATAGACAGTAAAGGACTGAAACCTGAACAAGTGTTTAATTGTGATGAAACAGGCCTGTTTTGGAAGAATATGCCAAGCAGGACCTACATTACTCAGGAGGAAAAGGCACTCCCAGGACATAAGCCTATGAAAGACAGGCTTACTCTGTTGATGTGTTCCAATGCTAGTGGTGATTGCAAAGTGAAGCCTTTATTAGTGTATCACTCAGAAACTCCCAGAGCATTCAGGCAAAAGAATATCCTCAAGGCTAATTTGTGTGTGCTGTGGAGGGCAAACAGTAAGGCATGGGTCACTAGGGACTTTTTCTATGACTGGTTACACCATGCATTTGCCCCAATGTGAAAGATTACCTAACTGAAAAGAAATTAGACCTTAAGTGCCTCCTGGTGTTAGACAATGCCCCTGGTCATCCTACAGATGTGGCAGAGCGACTTTATGGGGACATGAGCTTCATTAAGGTGAAGTTTTTGCCTCCTAATACCACTCCTCTCCTGCAGCCTATGGACCAGCAGGTTATTGCAAACTTCAAAAAACTGTTCACAAAAGCTCTGTTTGAAAGGTGCTTTGTAGTGACCTCAGAAACTCAACTGACTCTAAGAGAGTTTTGGAGAGAGCACTTTAATATCCTCAATTGTATAAACCTTATAGGTAAGGCTTGGGAGGGAGTGACTAAGAGGACCTTGAACTCTGCTTGGAAGAAACTGTGGCCAGAATGTGTAGACCAAAGGGATTTGGAAGGGTTTGAGGCTAACCCTAGGAATCCTATGCCAGTTAAGGAATCAATTGTGGCATTGGGGAAGTCCTTGGGGTTGGGGGTTAGTGGGGATGATGTGGAAGAGTTGGTGGAGGAGGACAATGAAGAACTAACCACTGATGAGCTGCTAGATCAACTTCAACAGCAAGAGGCCAGACCTGAGGAAACTGGTTCGGAGGAGGTGAGAGAGAAATTGAAGAAGTTGCCTACTACAAAGATTAAGGAAATCTGTGCAGTGTGGCTGAAAGTGCAAACCTTTATGGATGAAAATCACTCTCACACAGCTATTGCAAGCCGTGCTGGTGACTATTACACTGACAATGTTGTGAAACACTTTAGGGAAGTCATAAAGGAACGAGAGGTACAGGCCACTATGGACAGATATGTTGTGCGACAGAAGTCCAGTGACTCTGAAGCTGGTCCTAGTGGCATTAAAAGAAGAAGGGAAGTAACCCCAGAAAAGGACTTAACACCTCAAGTCTTAATGGAAGGGGATTCTCCTTCTAAACACTAAGACTCTCTCCTCCTCCCATCCCATCAATCATCACCAGATCTTCAATAAAGGTAAGTGTCATGTAATTGTGCATGCCTTTTTCAGTTTGTGTGTATTAAAATTAATATTTTCATGTGGTAAAAATTTTTTTTTTTCATACTTTGGGGTGTCTTGCACGGATTAATTTGATTTCCATTATTTCTTATGGGGAAAGTTCGTTCGCATAACGATAATTTCGCATAACAATGAGCTCTCATGAACGGATTAATATCGTTATGCGGGGGTCCACTGTAGTCGCTTATATCTCACCTGAACTTCCTCCTCCTTTAGTTTATACACTTTCACCTCCCTCTTACTTGTTGTTGCCACCTTCCTCTTTTCTCATCTACCTCTTACTCTAACTGTAGCTACAACTAAATAATGATCCGATATATCAGTTGCCCCTCTATAAACATGTACATCCTGGAGCCTACCCATCAACCTTTTATCCACCAATACATAATCTAATAAACTACTTTCATTATGTGCTACATCATACCTTGTATATTTATTTATCCTCTTTTTCATAAAATATGTATTACTTATTACCAAATCTCTTTCTACACATAGCTCAATTAAAGGCTCCCCATATACATTTACCCCTGGCACCCCAAATTTACCTACTACTCCCTCCATAACATTTTTACCCACTTTAGCATTGAAATCCCCAACCACCATTACTCTCACACTTGATTCAAAACTCCCCACGCATTCACTCAACATTTCCCAAAATCTCTCTCTCCTCTACACATCTCTCTTCTCCAGGTGCATACACACGTATTATAACCCACTTTTCACATCCAATCTTTATTTTACTCCACATAGTCCTTGAATTAATACATTTATAGTCCCTCTTTTCCTGCCATAGCTTATCCTTCAACATTATTGCTACTCCTTCTTTAGCTCTAACTCTATCTGAAACCCCTGACCTAATCTCATTTATTCGTCTCCATTGAAACTCTCCCACCCCCTTCAGCTTTGTTTCACTTAAAGCCAGGACATCCAGCTTCTTCTCATTCATAACATCCACAATCATCTCTTTCTTATCATTTGCACAACATCCACGCATATTCAGACTTCCCACTTTGACAATTTTCTTCTTCTTATTCTTTTTAGTAATCTTTACAGGAAAAGGGGTTACTAGCCCATTGTATAATATAATTGTATAATTATATAATAATATAATAATTTTTATTTTGACATGGGAAGTACAATGCCTGCACTCTAAAGGAGGGGTTTGGGATATTGGCAGTTTGGAGGGATATGTTGTGTATCTTTATAGGTGTATGCTTCTAAACTGTTGTGTTCTGAGCATCTCTGCAAAAACAGTGATTATGTGTGAGTTAGGCAAAAGGGTTGAATGATGATGAAAGTATTTTCTTTTTGGGGATTTTCTTTCTTGTTTGGGTCACCCTGCCTCGGTGGGAGACGACCGACTTGTAAAAAAAAAAAAAAAAAAAAATGGTTGATACATGATACATGGTTGATACATTTGATATTTTCTCTTAGAAAATTGTAGTGAAAATGTTAAATATTGCTCATGTTTATTATATCTGTATCTGTGGAGAGAAAGTGATAACAAGTGCATATATTATTATTGATAATTATCTTAGTTTATTTTCATTTACTATACTATTGGTTTATCTTTTTTTCCAGACTGAAGAAGAGTGAAGAGAAGAGTACTTTGCTCAATGGTTTGCTGGAGGTATGGCAGACTTTATATGCAAAAGAGCAGAGTTATTTAGTGGAAGCAGTTGAAAGGTTGGTTGTTAATGCTGAGCTTTCTGCTGCAGCTGTCAAGGCCTTGGCTGCTGTGCTTGACAAACTCAAACCTGCCAACAATCTCACTCCATGCCATGCTCTGTTCTTTGTCAGAAATAAGTTGCTGGCATTATATTCAAGGTAAGTTTTCTACAGTTTTATATTGGCTAGTAAATATATAATAATTTTTTCAGTTGCAGTACATGTACAAATTTAATGAAGATAACTTGGTTTGGGTCATTTATTTTATGATTACCTGCATAGGAAAAGGTTAAAAGACATTTTTAAAATAAATGAAGATTTTGAAAAGTACAGTATTAATGTCAGGTGGATGGGATGAGTAGTAAAGCACAATGATACTGAATGAAGAGATATAAAGAATAACTACACTAACCTGTTTAACCCTTAAACTGTCCAAACGTAGATCTATGTTTGCTCGCATAACACTCCAAACGTAGATCTACGTTTTTTAAATGCTTTCAAATGGAGAAAATCAAGGTCGGAGTGCTACGCACGCAAATGTAAATCTAAGTTTGGACAGTTTAAGGGTTAGGTAAGGGTTATGGATATAACTATAGAAAAGGTTGATTCAAAAACATCGTGTTGATCGAGAAATTTAACGGTGTTGTAAAATTAAGTTATGTGGACAGTGTTTATATTAGCCACTCCTGCATAGTATGCATAAGTCTTACAAAATTGGATGTATTTATTGTGGAAATGTTGATTAACAAGTGGGTGATATTTAAAGTTCTTTTTAATAGTGTGGAAAGCTTGCATAATTTGTGAAATTAAATACATTTTATTATTCACAGTCGAAGTGCTCAGGAACTGAGTGCATCTGATGTTCTGTTTCTGAACATGTTGGTTGAAGCAAGCCAAGTGAAAGATGCTGACTTTATGGAAGACATCAGTCTCAAGAAGACTCCTGAGACTCCTGATGAGAAGAAGGAAGATGATGGTATTGAGTTGGACAGTAGTGATTCTGGGGAGTTTTATAGTATTCCTACCACACCGTCGCTTGGCAGGAATAACGGCCGCGTAGATGGTTAGTTTATTGATGTACTTCTCTTTCCATGATAGATTTACACAAAATACAATTTACACAGCAGAAAGGGATATAAAGTTAGTCATTGTGAGCATCCTGGTTGACTAGAATGATATGCAACATTGTCTAAAATGTGTTGCAGTGTCAGTCAGGTCTTCAGTGAAATAACTTTGTCTTTCATGTCACAAATGGCATCCTAAAGTTTATTGGAAAGATTAAGTAAGGAGTTAGTCTGTCAGTGTGGTCCTAGTTTGTATTTAAATGATTTGGATCAGGCATATTTAATATTTCTCTCTCTTATGTTTGTTTTCAACTTGTATACAGTGTGCTAAAGCGAACAGTTATTTTGCATTTTAGAGCACTTTGTTATTATTTATTACCCGGTTTAAAGTTTGACTGGGTAACGTTACCTCCCTTTTCCCACACCCTTTTCTAACGGGCTTTAGGATTTTTTTTCCTCAGTCTTCCCCATTTTATGAAAATTTTAGTAAAAAATCCCGAGCATTGCTCCATATCCACAGAAATTTTTTCACTAATATCAAATTTGGGTTTTAAAAAAAATATCCCTTCCAACTGCAGTGATTCAACAAGTTTCCCCAAAATTTGTTTAAAAAGAGGATGTTTCGGCAACCAAACATAAAACCCTTGCTGCCAGACTTTAAAAACCAGCCCGACATTTACTCCCAAAACTTACAGTAGCGCACCTTACACCCTTTTCATCAGTGTTCACAGGGAAAGGGAAAAAGGGAAAAAAAAATTCCAAGTAAAGCCCAAAGCCCCAAGGGGAAAACCTTTCCCAAATTTTCTGTCATGGGGATGCCTTCGCATATCCCCCAAACCCTCACCCCCTGCCCGGGGGCAAAAAAACAACAACAACAAAAATTTCTGGGGACGACCCCAAGTCTTTCCCCAGGATTTAGCCAACATTCATGGTCCCCCCCTTCTCACCCCCTACTGATGAAACCCCATAAAAACCATGACAGACAGCAAGCCCTTTTCCCCCCCCCCCAACTGACGGCTTTGGCCTACAGTTTATAACCCAACCCCCGGGTAGGGCACGGTTTGCAAAAACAAAAACACCTTTTCAAAGTTTTACAAGAAAATTAAAACCTCAAACTACAAAGGAAACCTATGAAAAAAGGTTTAATAGACTTTAGAATCCCTCCTAGAAACCCCAAAAACTCAAGGATCTTTGGGAAACGGGAAAAAAAAATTTAACAAATTTGGACAGTAAAATTTAAAAGGTTTGCTGGGTGGAGCAGTGATGGTGGTGGGGTTAGTAAAGGGGGACAAAAGTAGTAAAGGTGGGGGGAGTGGGGGTTTTGGTATGGGGGGGGGATTTAGTGGGTTTTAGTGGTGGGTTGGGGGGAGGTGGTCAGTGGAGTAGTGATGGGGTTTCAGTGGAGTAGTGATAATGGGGGTGGATAGTAAAGGTGGCAGTGGAGTATGTGGTGGTCAGTGGATTAGTGAAAATGGGGGGTGGATTTGATGGGGGTGGGGGTGGGTAGTGTGGTGGTTTGGGTAGAGTAGTGAGGTGGTGGGGGGAGTAGGGGAGGTGGTGGGGGGAGTAGTAATAATGGGGATGGAGAAAGATATGGTGGTGGGAGTAGTGATGGTGGTGGATGGAGTAGTGAAAGGGTGGGTGGATGGGTAAAGGGTTGGTGAGTGGAGCAGTGTGGGGTGGGTAGGAAAAATGAAAGTGGTGGGGGGGAAAAGTAGTGGAAAGTGGTGGGTGGAGTAGTGTATTGGGGGGGTTGGAGTATGATGGTGGGGGGGGAAAGTAGTGATGATGGGGGGTGGGAAGTGATGGGGGGGGTTTAATTTTAAGTGGAAGGTGGGGGGGTGAGTAGTGAAGGTGGGGGGTTTGGGGAGCAGTGATGGGGGTGGGGGGGTTTAGGGGTGGTGGTGGGTGGGGGGTAGTGAAGGGGGGGGTTAAAACCGTAAATAAAATTTTGGGTGAGTAGTGAAAGGGGTGGGTGGGGTAGTGAAGATTTGTAGCATTTAAGTTAGAAATTTAAGAATTTTTCCCTGCCAACCCTTGGGGGGGTTTTTTTTGGAGGCTGGAGCGGTTTAAAGGGCCCTTTAAATTTAATTTTTAAAAATGGGGAAAAAATTTGACTTGATTTTACAGAAAATTTGATTTAATGAGCTTGGTCACGGAATGAATTAAACTCGTAAGTAAAGGGGGTCCCCACTGTAGTACTATTTTTTAATTACTTTGGCCCCCCGCAAAGCGAATTTAAACCCCGGCAAGGGGTTTGGGCCCTTTAAACCCAAATGTTCGCTTTTCGAATTAATTTTTCCCCAAAAGAAATAAGGGAAAAATAAAAAAAAACCGTGCAAACACCCAAAAAGTATAAAAAAAATTTTTTTTTTTTTACCACAAAAAAATTTTAAATTTTTAAGTACACAAAAACTGAAAAAGGGCATGCAAAAATTACATGACACTTACTTTTATTGAAGTTTCGGGGAAAATGATTGAGGGGAAATTGTAGGAGGGGAGAGAGGGGTTTTGGGTGTTTAGAAGGGGAACCCCCTTCCATTAGGACTTGAGTAGCAAGCCCTTTTCTGGGGTTATTCCCCCACCAATAAAAGCTTTTAAAATTTTCCCATCATTTTGCAAATTTTTGTTTCGAAAAAAAATTTAAAAAACCTTTGGAAAAACCAGTTTCCCTTTTGTTTGCCTTTTTTCTTCCCCCACAATAGAACGAGGGTTTGGGTTTTGGGTTTTTCTTGTACAACCGGGCCAGGTCTTTTAAAAACCTACTCCACTTTATACTTTCAATAAAACTCTTTCTTCATTTCAAGGGGTATTTTACCCTTTGGGTGTGGGGGGGGGCACAAGAAGCTTTTCTTGGGGCCCATGGTCATTATTTTCCCCCAAACAGCACCGAAAACACTTAAAAAATAGGGAAAAATTCCAAAGTGAAATGCTTGAAGGGTTAACCGCGGAGGCGGCGGAAAACATTGGACGCGTCTCGGAGAAGGTCGCTGGGGCGGGTTTTTGTCCACTTTTCGGAAAAAATTTTAGTAAACCCAAAGCGTTCGCTATGGGGGTTTTTCGCTATGCAAGGCGTTCGCTATGGGGGGTCCACTTTTGTTGTTTTACTTTATTGCTTTTCAGTTTAAAATAATCAGCAATCCCAGGTCCCAAAACAGGGGGTTTAATGAAGGTGTCAAGCGGGGTGCTGAAGTGTTACCTTTTTAAAGGGTTTATTTATTTATGAATAAAAGGGGGGAAAGGCAGCCGGGTTTGAGGGGTTAAAGATGGGAAATTTTTTAAAACCCGGGGGGGATAAAGTTTTGGAGGGTTGGTGCAATTTTTTTAAAAAATGTAGGAAAAGGGGGGAAAGGTACCTAGGGTTGGCAGAGGAAAGCTATTTTCCTTTGAATAAAGGAAAGGGGGAAATAAAAAGAGTGAAAAAATTTATAGGGGGGATAAAGTCTGTTGAGATACCGGGTAAAGGGATGGTAGATTATTTTGAAAGAATTAAGAGAAAAAGAGGGGAGAATGGATAGCAAAATGAACAAGGGGGTTTTGGGAAAAGTAGGGGGGGGGTTAAGGACCAGGGGTTTACAGTAAAAACATATAAGTGAACAGAATTTAGTTTAAGGCAAAAGGGGTTCTTTGGGGAAATTTATGGTTTTTGGAAAAGGGGCGAAATTAAACAGGGGGATAGGGGGGAAAGTGTGGCAGTGTTGCAGGTATATGGGAAAGGAGGTGGGTTACTGAAAGCAGTGAAGATTTTTTACGAGGATTTGGGTTTAAGTTAGAGTAGGTAGGAAAGGGGGAAATTTTATTTCCCAGAAAAAAGTGGGGCCTTAAAAAGGTGTGGATGTCACTGTGGTTTTTTAAAAATATTTATAGATGGGGTTGTAAGAGAAGAAAAATGCGAGGGTCGGGGGCAAGAGGTTGAAGTTAAAAGATAAAAAAACACAAAGTGGGAGTTTTCCAGTTGCTCTTTGCTATGACAATGTGCTTTTTGGGGGGATTCTGAAACAAGTTTTCAGAGTTGGTGGAAAAGAATTTTTGGAAAGGGGTTCAAAAGAAGAAAAATTGGGAAATTTAAAACAGGGAAAGAGTAAGGTTTATGAGGGAAACAAAAAGATTAGGTGATGAAAAACGGATATCAGTTGGAGGGAGAGGGTAGGGAGGAGGGAATGTTAAAATTTAATATTTGGGGTGGACGTGTCCGCGGAATTTGGGTTTATGAAAAAAGAGGTTTAATCAAGAAAAAAAGGGGGAAAAAAGGGGGAGTGGTGGGACCCTTTGGAGTCCCCGTGGGGACAAAAACTTTGTCCTTGGGGGCAAAAAGGGGAAATGTATGAGGAGAAATTTGTTTTTTTCCAACGCTCCTAAAATGGGGTGAAAAAATGGGTGATGAAAAGTTTGCAGCGAGGGAAGTCGGGGGCGTGGGGATTTTATGTCTGAAGGCAATGTGTGGGGGAAATAAATGCAGGAAAACGTAGGGTTTTGGGAAATTAGGAGGGGTGGGGATTACCAAAACTTTTTCCAGAGGGGAGGAAGGGGTTTTTGAGGTGGTTTGACATTAGAGAAATTTAAATGAAACAGAGGCTTCAAGAGTGTAAACTTTTTATGGAAGGAAGGCGGGGTAGGGGTCGGAAGGGAAAGGGTTTGGGGGGGGGGGAAAAGGGGGGTTTTTGTGTGCGGGGGCTTGGACTTTTTAGCAGGCATGCGGGGAGCGTGTTTTATGGAGTGAATGGAGACAAATGTTTTTAATACTTGACCCTGCTGTTGGGGTGGCAAAGTAACATTTAAAGAAGGGGGTTTAGGGAAACCGGGAAAGGGCCCGGGCGAGTCCCGGAGATGGGAAGTAAAAGGCCTGCACTCTGAAAGAGGGGTGTTAATGTTGGGAATTTTAAAAAATGGGGGGGGGAGTGTAAAAACACCCTTTTGCAAAAACAAATGAAGGAAATGAATGATGGGTTTTAAAAATTTTTTTCTTTTTCCCCGGGGCCCCCCTGGCCCTTTGGGGGAA